GGTCACGTGCAGGCACCAACCACACACACAGCATGGAGAATTCTTATATATAAGCACAAGTTTTAACACAAACCAGTTGGAAAAATTCTTTCTGGACCTACACAAGGAAAAAAATAAAGAGGCAGAAACCATAGACGAGGTGCACCTTCCCCCTTCTTTGCTTTAAAAATAGAAAACAAAACCTCTGAGAGCTCTTTTCAGTTAAGACAATTGAGAAAGATTTGGTGTGTTCTGCCTAAGCTCAGATCTTCCTCAGGCCGAGAAAGAACCTTGAAGCACACAGACCAAGAAATGAAAACTAGGTAGCAGCTGGCTGGAAGCTGTTGCAGACTGAAAGCATCCATCTACCACTTGACTTGAGAACTTTACCTTCCGGCACATCAGAGGTGAGAGTGCAGGTACCTGAAGGGGACAGATGACTGATCTTTCATCACAACACAGACTAAAGGAACATTAGGATTTAGCTACTATTGTGCCACCGTAAGAAGCACCAGGGTATGTGCAAGTGAGATTCTGGTCCATCCCCAGGACCTCTGTTCCCCTGCATGTCAGAGAACAGCTGCACCAGGAGCAAGAGCAATAACCCACACCTGCTGAGCTGGTGGGACTGCAAGTGGCGGCCACGCTTCCGGCTGGGGCAGTGCCACTGAAAGGGGATCCCCACTTCTGATAAGCAGAGAGGGAGCAGGGAAACAATAGGTGATTTGATGAGAGCTGCTCTACGATACTCCTGAGAAGCCCCAGAGTCAGCACTGGCCAAAGAGGAAATTGGGGGTTTCCACAGCAACCTGTTCAGGGCACAAAGGCCCAACTGTCTGGGGAGAAGCAGTGGAGGTGTCTCAGCACTCCCATATTAAGAAGGGACAGCAGTGGAAGGCTGGAGTCTTTCTGAAGCCAAAGTACCTGCCAGAGCATTTCTGTACAGCACAAGTTTAATTGGGTATCAGTCCTGTAGGCAGGGAGGAGCAGTGCTAGAGGAGGGAGTTACAGCAGACTTTAGCCTAGATAAAAGACAAGGCCTTCAACAGGGCGAAAAAGCTGAAAAAACAGCATTGCACTGGGCTCCCTAATCTTACTAATATAGTCCATGATACAGAGAGTAAAAAACAATACCCACACTAGTAACACAGCTAAGAAGGCATCTCTTGGGCATGTAGAACTGAGATCAAAAAGAAAGTCAGAGGGGAAAACATCCCAAATACATTTAATTTAATATAGGGAGATTAAGAATTTATTTACACAAATACTAACCAAAATAAAAAACACCCCTGGAAAAAACAAAAACAATGGTTGGAATCTGATCAGTCTGTGATAATCAACTCATCCACACCCCAATCTTCATAGCTCCCATCTGGAAGGTAACGCCGGATGATTATGGGGATCTTGCGTGCTCTGAAGGGAAGAGAGAGTTGAACAGAAATGTCAGAATCTCCACTGTATCACTTCAGCAGGCAATGGAAGTGTAGTGCTTGGTGCCTTCAACAAACTCATCAGATTTAAATGTGAGCTGTGTAGCACCAGTGATTTGATATTATATAGCAAAGCTCCAACAACCTTCTGTCATTTGCGGGTGCAAAGCACTCAGCACCCTTAGACTAGGAACACAAAGACCTCTCAGACCTCTGCTGCTATTGTGGACTGAATCCATTAAGAGACAACACCAAGCAGATCTAATACTGATATTGGGGGAAAAATATAAATCAAACGACTTGAAGAACAAATCCACTTTCCGTTTGATGAAAGTTCTCTCCCCTCATGATGTTAAAAAAAGTGGCAGAATTCTGAGAACCTCCAGGGCAAACTGGTATTTACAGAGAAATTTGCACCCTGAGAGCATCAGTTACATTTTAAGGATACATGGGACAGTGAGTATTCAGGTACTAAAAACTGTTACAGCCAGGGTGGAGCACAGCACCTGCTTACAGAGCTTCCAATTAGAGAGCAAGAAAATGTTGAACACAATTTAACTTCATGAAAGTAGATTTAAGTCAGCAAAGCATAATCAGACATTCTGGATTCTAACCAGGGCATCAAGTTTCAACTATATCAGACTTGAAAAGTAACACAATTTCTTTACATCCAGGGACGTTTTTCCAGTAGAAAAGCAACTCCCTGATGCCAAGAATTACACCTGAATCTTGGCACAGAACAGGATGCACCACCCTGACTTACTTTCCAGAGCTCATACTCAGGCAGTGACCAGAAAAAACTCAGTCTGAGCCTGGAGATCTAACAGGAATATGATTTAAGGAGCTTCTGGCAATAGCAAAGGGAGCTGTAATAGATATAAAATCTGCAAGAGCAGCTTCAGTGCATTGAGAAACTGGCAGAGCAGACAATGGAGACCTAATCAGAAATGGAGTCCAGCTGCTTGAATGATACCTGCATGTGACCTAGACTGCAGACAAACTGTAGGATAGCAGGGAGCTCTGCTGTGGAAAGGTGGGCCTGCAAGTGGCCATGCAAAAGCTGCCTCTGCTACAGTCAGAAAGGATTTATTTACCTTTCTGTATGCAGGTGGAAAGCACAAGACCAGCATGCAAGGGTGCAGGAAATAAGCATTCTCACCAGCCTGATTCTTATTTAAATTTTTACCAACACTTCATTTGAACACAGGTCTGTTCAGATGGCTGCTTCAAAACAATTCCATTTGGGGAACTAAATTGATTCCAGAAAGATGAGGACCTTGGGTTCCCATCATAGAAATAAAGAACACTGTGAAGAAGAAGAGGTCCAGAGCACTCCTAATTACCAGTATTTGCAGGAGCAACTWGGATGGGAGAGAACAGCTGTGGAGAAACTCCAAGGTGAAAAAAGGAGAAGGCAATTCTAGTGCTCACTGTTATTGAGGTAACACAAGGTTATCTTAGAATAAACTGTTAAATGCTGGGATGAGGAGAGGACTGCTGGCTTTATGGAAATCAGCACAAAATCTGTGACTTACTTGAGTTCTTTCATGGCAATCAGCAAGGGGTCTGTCTCTCCTTCCAGTTCCACCATCACAGGGGCACACATCCTAGGAAGAGCATAAACAACCACTTGAGCAAACACAGAGAGAAGAGGGACAGCTAAACACCTGCTTACCTGTGTCACCTCTACAACAGCCAATAAAATAGGAGGGTGGGACACCTTCCTGGCAAAACTGATTTGCTCTGTTGTGCACTCAAGAAGAAAATTCCCCCAGATGGTTATAGACCAAACTTTTACTTCAATGTTCTTCTTGTCCCACCCCTCAAGCTCTGCTAACTGCTCATACTCAAGGACTGGTCAAATCCACACACTCCTAGTCGCCCTCTGCTGTACTTAAACATGAAGAGTGGTTCTAAAATTAATCCAACAAAAAGGGTGGAACTGCTGTAAAATGAGCAGGCCGCCTACAACTCCAATACATCTCTTACATTCTGACTTGCTCACAGCTTCCAGGCCTTGATCTGGGGAAGAGAGGGGCGGGATTTACAATGCATTTTACCTCTAGGAATAAAATATTAATCATTTTGCAAGGGACTGTGAYGACACCTATCCACTGGACAATGGTGGCAGAGAAAGCTCACATTATGTGAGCCATAGGGGCTGCTGCTGCTCTGGGKTCAGCACCAAAGCCAGAAGAAGCAGGTGCCAGAGTGTTTTGGATTAAAGCCCTGGTATGGGCCCATCTCGTCTCCCCCCATTTTTCTTGCCTTTCACCCACTGAAAGAACATACACAAAGCAGCTTCACAGGCTGTGCAAAGAACAGCTTGGCTGCCTGTGAGCTTCTAAATGATGCACAAGAAAGGCCTCATTTTGAGGGTGGATATAACCAAGATGAAACTCAAACAGTTGCCACTGTCAAATAATCTCACTCAAAAGACATTTTTCAAAAAGCACAAAATGTTTTGATATTTATTATTAAAATAAGTCCAAAAAGGCAATTGGATTAATAGCAGCCAACTTTGATAGTACTTAAACTAACTTCTAAATGTTTTTATTTGTTATAGATAAGGTCTTATTACTGCAAATACTTAAAAAAACTTACAGCTTCCCACAAGGCAACTGCACTTAAATTAGATTTCAGGTTGGTTTCTTCACTCCCAATTCCTACCCTGTGTATCAACTGAAGCTTTTTTGAAGCACCTCTCCCTCCAAACTAGCTTTTACAAGCCAACTATGAACTTTCCAGTCCATACTGTCTCTTTTAGGAAAGACAAAAACCACAACTGGTTTGTCCCATTCCCCAGTAATTTTGCCTGTGATGTAGGAAAATTCATTGTGGCTACTAAATGCTTCCTCTTTATGCACAAGTAGCACAGTTTCAGGCAAGGAGCAACTAAGAGCCACACACTTCTGTGCACCACTGTTGACCAAAGGGGTGCCATGCAARCTCAGCAATCAGACAAAGGATCTAGGATATTTGGGAATTTTTAAGAGAAGAGGAAAGCATTTTTTAGCGTAAAGGGAAGTGCAGTTGGCACTGCTGGGGAAACAGTGGGCAATACTCACGCTATCTGGAGGGCACGAGTGCCCAGGACTCTGGCTCGCTCGTACTTGGTCATGTAGGGGGTCGTGATCCGCTTCTGGTTTGCCTGCTGCCGCTCTCCCGAGGGCAGAATCTCCACGTTCTCCTGTCCCTCCTGGTGAAAACAGACCCGCGTCGCTGCGCAGCCGCACCCACCACCGAGGCCCTGAGGTGTCGAGGGAGCCCGAGGACTCCCCAGCCCCAGCAGCTTCCCAGCCAGGCTGCGATACGACCCTGCGGCGCCGGCAGAGCCTGCCCAGACCGGCCAGAGCGGCGGCCCGCGGGGCACCCACCTCCTCCGCGTTCTCCAGGTCCTCCAGGCCCTCATCCTCCTCCACATCGTCGAAGTCATCCCCGTCAAAACTGTGGGCGACACACGCGCGTTGTACTTGGAGCCGGGTCGCCCTCCCCCCGGCCCGCCCCACCGCTGAGAGGCGAGGCGCGACACGCCGCCGCCTCCCGTTCCTCCCCCGGCCACCCCGCTCTCACTTGTCCTCGTTGTCAGACATGTTGCCGGCCCGGCGCCCTCTGACCCGCACTTCCGGGAGCCACTTCCGGCTGTTTCGGAGCGTTACCGGAAGTTCTCCCGCGCCGTTGCCGTGGCGACCGCCGCCGCTTCCCTGCCCCTCCGCTTCCGGTCCCGTCCTGTCACCGCCCGTCGCGATGGAGCCGGCGGGAGCCCCGGACGGCGGCAGGGACTCGGCCGCGGGCAGGCCGGCCCGTTACAGCCCAGGCACCCGGGAGCTGTTGAGAGGTAACGGTGGAGCGGGGCCGGGGCCTGGCCCGACTGCTCGGGGCGCTGGAGTCCGGGCTGCCGTGCCTCGCCCCGAAGTGGAGCGCCCCACCGCGGTCCAACAACCGTGCGGGCCCGTCGCTGGTTCGCCGCCCCGCCTGCTGTCTCCCAAACCCTCATCTTCCCTCTCGGGTTGGGGCTGTGAGCGGAGGTGGCCCCAGGGCGGSTTCTCCAGCCCGCCTCTGCTGCCTCTTCACCGACACGTCGTATTTTTCAGCGATGATGGAGGASTTGCAGCTGACGCATTCCCAGAAGCGATATCTCATGGACTTTGTGAAACGTGAGTGAGGCCCCCTGGCCCTCCTGCCCGCTGCTGTGTTATGGTGAGAAGCTTTTGCATCTTGGCTTGAGACAGGGCCRTTCGCCTACAACCTGCTTGGATGGGCAGTTGCTTTAAAACAGCAGCATAGCACCTGACACATTGGGACAAACGGGGCAAGGTGTCCCCACGGGTCATACAGGAAACAAAGGGCAACAGTGTGACTTGAACCATAGTTTGTCTCATGCCCAATGGCCTGGGTGAGAGATCTGTGGCACTTTGTGATGCTACTATGGATCATTAGGTGGATCTGCTGACAATGGCCCAGAGCTATCCATCCAGAGTCCCCTGTGTCTGATTTGCTGTTTTCTTTGATTCATTCCCCAGGAGGAGATGCCTTACCCCTTCAGAGATTTCCCCCATCCAGCAAACAGCCAGCACCTGCTTCCTACCTGCCAGCCTGTCAGCCACGCAAGCTTCCAGCTAGACCACTTCTCCGACCTGCCAAGGTCTGCCAGGCAGGAGATGCCTACACCCGAGAGAAATTCAAGCCCCAGCCCATGCGTAAGTCAGCAAACACTGCTAATAAATACATGGTGATGCCTGGACCCTCTCTTCTCCTTCTGTCCATCCCCTGCCTACAATCTCAGAAGTGGTATTTGCTCCATGTCCTCACAGTCACAGTCTTCAAAGATGCTTTAGAAATGGATCCCTGAGGGAACATCTACTGTAAGTGCTTGCTGACTTCTGCCCGCCGGCTCAGAAGGTGACAGGTGATAGGGACTGCACTGTCCTTAAGTAAGAGTGGAGCACTACATGATTTTCTAGCACATAGATGTGAACCAGACCTCTGATGTTGGTTTGGTGGGCTCTGTGCAACTGTGTGGTGCTTGCACACAGCCCAGGGATGGACTGACATTAATCTAACACTTCCTCTGGCATGCTTAGCAGGGAACCAGTGTGATCAGGCTGCTCCATGAAGAGACATGCTGATAATAATTTTTTTTCCTTTGGCATTCACAGGAGATTTGGAAAAAGAGAAGAGAAGACTTCAAAACATCTTAGCAACAGGGAAAGATGAGGTGGAGGACAAGATGGAGCAGGTGTTTGTTCAGAAAAAGGAAGATGAGATAGCTGAGCATGACCGGTTTGAAGAATGTACGTCTTTATGTCCCCAGGAGGCAGGCAGGCAGGAAGCCTGGGAACCCAGCTCCCTCCAAGGGCTGGGGTGGCAGGCTGTGTTGCCAGTAACCTGAAGCCCATTACAGGAGGAAGCACAAAGCCCAGTTTCCAAGAAAAAGGACTTGCTGCTGTGATGCTGTGATCCAGCCACCCTCACAGAGCTTATATTGCTGCAGTTTGCTGGTGGATAGTTCTGTGGGTTGCCCACATAAAATACACCCTGCTGGTGGGGAAATAGCCTAGGGATGTGCAGGGATACCTGGGAAGCAATCTCAGGTACTGTTGGTCCTTTTCCCAGCAAGCATGACTCAATATAGACTAGGTCACTTGACAGCCGGACCATGATTGGTCCTGTTTCATTCCAGGATCACGAGAGTTATACTAGCAAAGCTTATATGTTGAGCACATTTTCAGCAGTGAAAGACTTTGGCCTGCAGAATAATCTGGGRTAGCAAAACCCTGCCTAATACCTCTCTGTGATTGAATCTAAAACGTTGCCAGCCAGGGCAGCACAAAGATTGTCAATGCTAGAATAATGTGTACAGAGGGGGTGCTCCCTGCTACAGGGAGCCAGTGCAGCTGGCTTCCCATATGCTTGGTAGTCTCCAACACTTGTTGCAAGCTGAGTGTTGTCCTTGACACATCTGTGACAGGATTTGGATCAGCTGGCTGTAGTCTGTGGTGCAAAGAAGCAGCTGATGATCCATGCCTGGTCTTGGATGGTTGTGGTCACTGGGGGATGCGTGTCAACTAATGAACTTCAAGAGCAAGTTCTGTCTCCACCCACACACTGGTTAAATTGCCCACAAGAGAATTGTCTGTACAAAGAAAACTAGAAAACTGCTGTTCCTGGGAGTCAAGGAGTGGTAAGAAGTTGGGCAGAAGGTACATTTCCCACTATGTAAAGGACTGCTGAGCTATTGTGATGACATGTTGAGCAAGATGAGTGTTACAGCAGATAATCATCCTTTCCCTGGCGGGAAATTTRGGATTCAGATATAGACAGAAACATGTTTTCTTGCCTTTTGGCTGCATGCTGTTTCCACAGTTCTTTCTCTTATCCATCAGTGATGAATGAAATTCAGGAGAGGAGGGAATTCCTGGCAGAGATGGAAGCTCTAGGACAGGGCAAGGAGTATGAAGGGATTATCCTCACTGAAATCTCACAGGTATGCAAAGGCCTTGGCTGTACAGTGCATGGAGGCAATTCGGTGTGTCACAGATCATAAAGCAGAGTTTTCTCTGATATCTGAGCAGGGAAGGGGGCATAGAGCTGCTTCCCTTCATGGCACAGCTCAGGTGTGATTTTGGGGAATGGTGGATAGAGATTTTTCAGCTTTCTTTCTGCCTTTGCATGTAACTTAATCAGGGAAATAGAACTTTTGTTCTTAAGATTGGCAAAAGAAGAAAAAAAAAAGCTGCTAGCTTYCTCCCTGCTCAGCTCTCCCCCTTTGTACTTTGCAGAAAATGCATGAGATGGAGATCATTGACAAGAAGAGAAGTGAGGAAATGAGAAAGATCATGACAAAAGACTTCCCTGGTGGGAACAAATCCAATCTCGACGACTAGGCCAAGGGCAAAACACAAGTGCAATTTGTTCCCAGCTCTTCTTCCCAGACTCGGCATCAGAGACTGGTGTGTGTCGTTTTCAAAGAGGGGGCAGCACCATCTGTTGCTTGAAACTAGAAGGCAGGACCAATTGGTACATTAACAGCAACAGAAGTTGTAAAATCCTTCCCACATGCTRGATCCCTTCTCACTCAATAACATTAAAGACATGAAAACACATAGCAACGGCTGCCAAACCAGGACAATGCAGAGCCTTCTTTTGCCAGTGCAGTGCCTCAGAGTACAGCAATCCATCCACAGAAATGTCATTTGTTCCCATCGACCCAGAGGTGGAGGATTCTCATGACAGCACGATGGTAACACATGCTGCCAACCCACACCTGTAACCTGCTTGCTCCTGGCCCCGTGACTCCAGGAATGTCTCTGAAGATGCAGCTGTGTGGCYTTGCACAATCACGAGCCCCTGGCATAGCTACAGGTCACTGCAACTGTGACCTGCAGCATCAGCAAACCTCTGGTGGCAGCCCCATTGGGCAGGGGCTCAGAACACAGCTGTGCTGTGCAGGGACAGGGGATTTCAGCCCAGTGCCTGCTGCTCCTTGCTGTGGGCTTGCTGTGATTTTTTGGTTTCTAAAAGCATGGRATGCAGAATAGGCACTGTCTTCCCGCAAAGCCTGGAAATGGCTGTTTGCTCACCTCATCCTTACCTGCACCTCTGTCCTCCAGCAGCCTGAAGCATGATGCCCAAGTTTCCCTGTGTAAATTCCAGCATAAAGTCCAGTTTCCAATTTCCTTAAGGTCCCATCCTCTGCTTTTTAGCAATACTCAGCCACTTTCCAAAAACAGGCAGCTCTGGCCCTGGGATAGCACGAGTGCACAAAGGAATCAGAAACCTAATCCACAATAATTTTTTTAATCCAATGTTTCTTTTATTTTTGTTCAGGTGAATGGAAGTCATGGAGTTAGTACAATATAATTTACAAATCAAACTTCTGACTGGGCRCAGGGCCAAGGGGTGTCAGGCTGCAGCGATCCCAATGGCCTTTGGCAACAGTGATGTGACAACAGGCTCTAAAGCAGATTTGTTTCTCCTTGGAGAAGAGTTGTGCTTTGGAATCTCCCCCCCACTACCACTGCTCCTCCTCAGCCTGCTGGGTRTGGCAAGGGTGATATGGCATTACTGGTGCAGGGCTGAGCTGGCCAACTCCCAACCACGGGGGCCACACTGGGATTGAGGAGGGGCTCAGGTCCCTCTGGTTTTGGGAAATGAGGATCCCTCTCCAGAATGCTRCACCAGCCACCTTGCAAGGCACTGCTCCGAGAGCATTTTGGCTAAAGCCTATTGGGTTTTTAGAAGAGACTGCAGCAGATGGCTCAGGGCTGGTTATGTCTAATTTGCTAATGAGAAGATAAGATGAACAGCTGACCAACCAAACATTGATGAAACTCTAATCCAGACTGATCCAATAATTCAATAAATAACTTGTCTCTTGGAAGAGAAGGCAGGAAACAAAAATGGAAGGAAGAAGGGATAGYTGGAAGAACACTGCCCCCCCATTCCCTCCTCCAATGTACACACACACACGACAAATAAAATAAGGAGTTTAAAGTTTTAGGATGGGTTTGAATTAATCTAGTAAAGGAGGTGTAAAAATAACCAGTCACATCTGACCACTTTTAAAGTATATGTAGATAAAGCTGGGTAAAGATCAGATGTGACCACGCCTCTCTCCCCTGCCGTTTAAGGGTGGCACTAGTGAGCAGGGACAGAAGCTTAGTGCCCCTTGCTGGCACTGAATCAGTCTTCAGCTTTTCTGCCCTTGCCTGGAAAAGGAACARTTTCTCTCTCCCTAGGCAGGCAGCAAAGTCAGCGGTGTTTAGCAGCAGTGGGGTTCCTGAGTAGGGCACATGAGCTACATCCTAGCAGCTGTAYGCTGTCCCCTTGGGTCCTCTCTGCCTTGTGACGAAGCCCACCCTGCCCTGGAACTAGAGGAAGGGGACAGCTCAAAATAAATAGGGCACCAGCTGTTTTTCTGGCGATGGCTCTAGAGCCTCGTGATGCAGAAGTATTTTCTTAACCTTTTAGTTTAGGCCCATAAAACCCAAAGAATCCTGATTCTAATGTCAGTTTTCTCCTGAAGTTAAAAATGGGACAGAAATGGGACAAGAGCGAGCAGGCAGGGAGGGACAGGAAGGCCTAGTCCCCTCCTGGCAGAAGTCAGAGGCACGTGGAACTGTCACAGTTAGAGTGGGAGAAGGGACAGGGTGCAGTTAGTGCAAGTTTTCCCACAAATACGGAACTCCTTTGCTCATTCTCAGTTAATGACAAGAGCACACAATGGGGTAATGAACCTGAAAAGCAGATCCATCTTCTCCCCGCCTTGTTAACAAGGCTTCATGGAGGGGACAGTCATGGCCCCCCACAGCCTCAGGAAGGGGAGGGCTTTGGTCATTCTCACCCACTCTGGRCTGAGGGCTGGCATCTCCCTGGGGTGGCAGCTCTGGTGCCTGGGGAGGAAGCAGGGGGAGAGGCGAGCCAGGGCCAGGGAAAGRTGAGTCGGGGTTCCCTCCACTCTTAGTGTTCCTCTGCTCTAGCTTTTCTCCTTGGATGACTTGCTCTTGGAGTCATGCTTGTTGCCCAGCAGCTTAAGCACCTTCATGGCCTTGAATTTGCCTTTCTTCTTGTTCTCGGTCTCCGTCTCCTTGTGAAATTCTGGGGTTGCAAAAGGAGGTTGTTACTGTGGGATGTCAGTAGTTGTATAGACACACTCATGAAAACAGACAAGGGTGAGAGTCATGAATCAAAGCCCTCCACTGTATCAAAGCCCTGCACAATTTCTCTCTCTCACACAGGGGTGTGCAGCACAACTGTGCCTCTAACTTTATTGGCCCTAAAGGAAAGTCTCCCCAGTCCACCTAGAATAGATTAAATCTCTCCTGCACACAATTTCACTAATGCTCGTGCTGCCCCTTACTGGGGTCAGCAGCCAAAACATCATTCCAAAAAGCTTCCCATTTGTTTCTTACCTTTTCCTTTAATCATGGCTTCCAACATTTTATCCTCCTCTTCTTCTCTGAAAGAAAGAATGGGAAAGAATTCAGCCCTGAAAACAGCTGCTGTATTGTTTAAGGCTAGAGAGCCTCCTACTTAGAAGTCACAGAGGAGCAGATCCATCACTGTCTTGTGAGCATTTGCTACCAGCAGGATAAATCCCACATGCTGCACATGCTGTCCTGTCTTTCCCACACAAAGCATTCAAGGAGACAAGGATTGGGAAGCCTGGAAAAGACATTAGCAACATGGACATCTTAGGACACCCCCACAAGGTGCTCATGCAACACTGAGTCAGACGGGCTGTGCTTTTCCTTTCTCCCCCAGCCCACCCCACTCCTCACTCACCTCTGCCGGTCCTCGTCCAGGCAGTTCACAATGGCGTTCCTCTGCTCAATGATGGTCACCAGCTCCTGCATCAGCACCTTCTCTCTCCCTCGGTCCTCGTTGGTCCAGTCCTTCTCTACTCAGCCAAACCCCAAGGAAGGACAGGCAATTACATGTCTGAAGGATCTCCAGCACAATCCCTTCCACTCTGCCATGCTGAAGGGCTGGTTGGGCTAGCAGTGCTTGGGGACAGAGCCCTGCATGTGGCATTCCATGGGGACAAAAGGAGCAGGTCCCTGCAGAAGGCTGGAACATGTATTGAGAGGGCACACAGCCTCTAGAGCCAGCTGATTGCACTGGCATCCCTACAGATCTGCCTCTCTTCACCCGAGATCCATCTACAGAGAGGGCAGATGATGCCCAGGGGAAAAATGATCCTTGAGGGTCCATCCCAACTCAGGATATTCTATGATTCTATGAAAAAAGGGGTAAGCACACCCAGAGCAGTGCTTTACCTGGCTTGTTGAGGAGGCACCGCAATTCATACTCCACGTCTGACTGTCGCTGCTCTAGGTTCTGCTGCTTGAAGCTGCAAGAGAAGGGGGAACTGTTGGGAAGCACTGCAAGGCTCCAAAGATGGGGAACATCATCCCAAAGTACAGGGTGAGCTTGGAAAGAACTATCAAGATGCTGATCTTGTTCTGTATAGCCAGGGAGCCAAGGACCAGTAAGGACCAGGCCTGACTGCTCAAGGCCTTCCTGCAGGAGATGCTGCAGAGGCTCTGGTGACACGCTAAGGGACAATTCTGAATGTATCTGGACAGACTGGTCTCCTTGCCCTTACTTCCTCCCTTTTCTAGGCAAAGGAGGCCGTGTCAGGATCTTCCCTGGAGGCACAATTTCAGGATGGCTGAGAATGGGCTCCCCATGAGAGTGTCAGTGCCTCTCCACATGCCTGCACACACTTACATGTAGATGAGCTCCGACTCATGGCGCACCAGCATGTGCTTCTCATGGATGAGTTTGAACCAGTCCACAAGCAGGCTGTCCTCAGGGCTGTCTGCCAAGCAAAGGGATAATTCAGAGCCATTCCCAGCCCTGGTGGATTCCATCACCCTGCAGCAGGCTGGGTTCTACCAAGATAGGGGAAGGGCACTGGGCTAGAGCAAACCCAACCTCAGCCTGTTTCTGAGTTCCAGAGAGACCCTCTCTTTTCTCCCACCTGTTTCCATTCTAGGGATGTCTCCATGTTCAGGGTATGGTTGTGACCAATCTTGGAGACCAGCACAGCTTTTTGTGCTCTTCCAACCCCATTATCRGCAGGGAGGAAGTCGCTATTTCTATCTCCTTGGCTGGAGAGAGGGCAGCCCTAGGGTCTGTCCTGTCCAACACCCACTGACAGCCTACCCCYCTTACCATTCTCAGCACTGCGAAGTTTTTCCTCCAAGGCCACCCCACGGTGTTCCAGCTCATCCAGCTGATGCTCAATGGCATCCATCTCCCCATAGATGTCTTCCTCAGGGATGTACTGATCTGTCTGCACCTGCCAAACCATAAATCAGAGACCTTCATTATCCCCAGACTCCAGTTTCYAGGGGTAACCCAAAGGTTGATCAACACTAACAAGGGCAGCGGGACAACAGAATATTCCATCTAAGTGTGGATCTGAAATCCCCACTCTACTCTGGAGCAAAGGTAGACCACGGTGTAGCCTACACAGCCTCTTCCCCAGCTACAGCTGCCTGCTGCACTCCCTGCCCACACATGCATCAGTAGGGTGCCTGCAGACTGCTACAGCCCTGGGGGATAGCACAGAGCTGGCTTTTCCTCCTTGCTCCYGAGGGCCCTTTTACCTTGCGTTTGATGAGTGGGAAGCCGTGGCCTGGTGCAGGAGGACGCACAGGCTTGGAGCCCTTGGGAGGTTTCTTTGCTGAGGGGGAGGCTGCAGGTGATGGCTTCCGATTGAAGGGGTTCTCTTTGCAGGAAGACTGGAGAGTGTAGATGAAAGCAGAYACGTGAGCAGGCAGGGAAGGGAAGAGATCCCAACAGCTGGGAATAAGCAGACAGGGTAACCCTAGGGTTTGACCTGCCCCACAGCCTCCTAAAGGAGGAACACAGCACTCAATTCCACAAGCACCTAGTCAAAAAAACAGCTGTGCTCCTATTTGACATCAATTCCCCAGCTTCTTTGTCGCTAAAATATTTTCCTTCATGGTTCCCTTTCTATTCACTCAGACTACATGACATCTTGCCTCTTCTCTAGCACATGGGGTAGGCAGAGTACAAAGCAGAGCCATCATTTAATACAGGCCTGAAGCTTGCTTTCAGGGGGTCACACATCAAACCTTCCAAAGGGGCAAGCCTGGACTCACAATCCCCCTGCGACTGAGAGATGGATGGGGAAGAAAAGCCCTGTGACCTGCATGGGAAGAAGGTCATCATCTCACCTTCAGCTGTGTTTTGGGT